ACAATAATCGAAACCTAAAGAAAGGACTTCTTTTTGTTCATCTGATAATATCGATCAGAAAAGTTGAAAATAACCTTATTCTTGTCCACTTTTTTGTTTAGGTCAATTCCTAGCTTAGTTAATTTCTTATTGTGTCTGAAATCAACCTTACATAATTTCTTTTCCATATTTCGTTCATTGAGGGATAATAAACATTTGGAATCGAAATAGGAAATACAGGAAGTGAGGAGAGTGGTGTCATCCTCCAGTTTCTTTTTGATGGTAGGGATCTTTTTCTTTTGTTTATCTATTTCCCAGTCCAAAAGATCGAAGCACCAAGAACGATATGTCCTGGTAGTTTGGAATGTGGGACAATACACTCTAAATTTAATAAAGTCTGGTATGGTTCCGTAACATTTACAGATCTCTAGGAATTTTAAGTCTTTTTCTACTTTCTTGGAGCGGAAAGAATTCCTTTCAATTTTCCTGTAGAGGTCCAGAGTATTCTTGCCGTATTTCTTCAGTATATAATGGGTTATAGATGAGTCCCGTGGGAATCGAATTCTTATCAGGAAGAAGAAAACCAACACGGCTGAGAAGAACTTCATTATTGCAATTGCATACGTTTCGGAGATGCAATCTCCATCATCAGTGCTATAACAAAAAAACAACAAAAATTAATTTAAAAATACAAACAAATTATAATACAAAACATACAAACAATATAATAGAAAAACAATATCAAAAGATCGTAAAAACAAGTTGGTGAGCAGTAACAGGTACTAACCAAGCTATGGGTTCTTTTGATAGTTTATATGGTAAACAGGGTGGTTGCAGTGGCAGTGTTGTTTAGATCCCACATACCTAGCCTGACAGCTAGGACAAGTAAACAAACAATGAAACCAGAGCTAAACAACACTGCCACTGCAACCACCCTGTTTACCATATAAACTATCAAAAGAACCCATAGCTTGGTTAGTACCTGTTACTGCTCACCAACTTGTTTTTACGATCTTTTGATATTGTTTTTCTATTATATTGTTTGTATGTTTTGTATTATAATTTGTTTGTATTTTTAAATTAATTTTTGTTGTTTTTTGTTATAGCACTGATGATGGAGATTGCATCTCCGAAACGTATGCAATTGCAATAATGAAGTTCTTCTCAGCCGTGTTGGTTTTCTTCCTGATAAGAATTCGATTCCCACGGGACTCATCTATAACCCATTATATACTGAAGAAATACGGCAAGAATACTCTGGACCTCTACAGGAAAATTGAAAGGAATTCTTTCCGCTCCAAGAAAGTAGAAAAAGACTTAAAATTCCTAGAGATCTGTAAATGTTACGGAACCATACCAGACTTTATTAAATTTAGAGTGTATTGTCCCACATTCCAAACTACCAGGACATATCGTTCTTGGTGCTTCGATCTTTTGGACTGGGAAATAGATAAACAAAAGAAAAAGATCCCTACCATCAAAAAGAAACTGGAGGATGACACCACTCTCCTCACTTCCTGTATTTCCTATTTCGATTCCAAATGTTTATTATCCCTCAATGAACGAAATATGGAAAAGAAATTATGTAAGGTTGATTTCAGACACAATAAGAAATTAACTAAGCTAGGAATTGACCTAAACAAAAAAGTGGACAAGAATAAGGTTATTTTCAACTTTTCTGATCGGATATTATCAGATGAACAAAAAGAAGTCCTTTCTTTAGGTTTCGATTATTGTATACCACCCAGTACCATTCCCCATAACCAGTTCTTTCTTTGTTTTGAAAAACTATGTCACACCATCAAAAACTGTGAGATTTACAAAGATAGATGGAATCATATCACCAACAGCATTTCTACTGTGGCACACGATACTTACAAGAAATTCAAATGTCATGTCAAGAGTATTCATACTCCATATCCCTCCCTTACACCCCTAATAGCTCTAAGAGATGATAACAATATTGTTATCACAAAGCCAGATAAGGGACGTGGAGTTGTTATCCTAAACAGAGATGACTATTTTAGTAAACTAAACACGATACTTAGTGATTCCTCCAAATTTAAACCAATCATGTCTGACACTGCCACTCATCTACTGAAATTAGAAGATAAACTAAACAGACTCTTACGCTCGATAAGAACATCTATCGGAGAAATGACTTATAATCTCCTGACTATATCTGGCTCAAAACCTGGTCGCTTATATGGCCTTCCTAAAATTCATAAAATTGGTCAGCCTTTACGCCCCATCATCTCTGCCATTGGTACTTTCAATTACAATCTTGCAAAATTCTTAGTTCAATTGATAACCCCTCTAACCACCAATGAATATACCATAGAAAACTCCTTCTCTTTCATCAAAGAAATTAGTGACCTTAAACCACTACGGCCTGTCACAATGGCCAGTTTTGACATAGAGTCGTTATTCACTAATGTTCCCCTCAATGAAACCACTGACATAATTTTAAACAAAACAACCTCCTCACTCTTAAACTCGTATGGCCTGAACAAGACGACATACAGGAAATTATTGGACATAGCCGCACACAACTCAGTGTTTACCTTCAATGGCTCTATTTACACACAGGTAGACGGTGTAGCAATGGGATCACCACTTGGCCCTTGTTATGCCAATACTTTCCTTTGCCATCATGAACAAACATGGATGAATGACTGCCCTGCTAATTTCAAACCTATTTTATATCGCCGTTATATGGATGATACTTTTTTACTCTTTAACGACCCCTCTCACATTAATCCTTTCCTCATACTTGAACTCACAACACCCCAATATAAAATTCACTTGTGA